TTTCCCTCGGCACAGCTACAATGAAAAAAGTTCAAAGTTCCTCGACGCAAGCGCGATTTTCTATTAAAAATTCCTGAATAACGAAACGCTTTTACCGGTGATTAAAACTTTCGATGAACCAAAGAATAAATAAATAAATTATCGACGAAGAAAAAAAGGTAAATAAATTATCGATAAACAAAAAATAAATAAATAAAATACTCAGTCAGATCTGCGAACGGTTGATAAAAAATGATAGAGAGCCACTTGTTTCGGAGTAATTAACGCTCGAGTCGACCACGCGATGCCTCGACCACTCGAATTTGCTACGGGGAAAATGATAACGCTGCGAGAAAGCATCGAGAGGAGAAAGCACGCATACAGAACTTCCGGCCGCTTCAAGCAGACAGAACGAAATGACAGTGGAAATTTTTTCTTTATTTCTGTTCGGATGAATTCTTTTAACAGATGGCAGCTCGGTATTTCGCGATGGAAAATTGGAAATTTTTCCATTAGTTAACAGTGTCGAAAATATCCAAGATTTACAGTCTATTCGAGGCGATTTTTCAAAAGTAAACATTGAAAAATAATATAAAAAAAATCCGTACGACTTCGATGTCGCTAACGAAGGGAGAAGGGTTCGGTGCATTTTATACGTGACGAAGCTCGGTCGAAAGAAACGCCGGTGCAGTTTTAGCTCGGTGAAGCGGAACGCGCGCAATATTTCTTTATATGTGAGATTAGAGCTCCCGCGCGCGCGCTCGTGACGCTTACGGAAGGGAAGGAATGAAGACGAAAAAAAAGGCAAGAGAGAGAGAGAGAAGGTTGCGTAAAATCGCAGCCTAAAAATTAACCCAGATTTACCGATGATCGTTCAGAATTGAACTTTGCGGAAATTCAACTGATGCCAATTAGAAATTCAATGCAACGGGATGGAATATAACGCGCAGGACTGCCGAAATAAGGCTACTCCACTCTGTAATGGTACTATTATGGATAAATAACATACCGGAAGAGTGGATCAAAGCGAATTTCGATGAATAATGCAAATTATGCTCGTTTTACAAGTAATTCGAGTGCTCCTTCATTTCGACAAAGTTGCAATAAATTAATTCTACCTTGATGGGCTATCCAGTTTCCTATTTTCCTTTTTTAAGAAATTCATCTGCTATGCTACGATCTTTCCCTCATGAAGTAATTACAACGTAGGAAACCGGAGATCTTTGTTCGCTAGAATTCGCAAGAGGCCCGCCACCAAATCGATTTCCAAATCTATTGGTATCGGATTGTCGGAACATAAGCTTGAAAGAAGCTTATAGCACAATTGGATGTAGCTTGGATCTATGGAAGCGCAGTTTGCGGATGTGAGAGTGCTCGAATTAGAATTAACGCGATGGAGATAATTATGTGCCGAAATAATTCTGCTGAAATTCTTCAGCGAAATTCAGAGAGAAAAGAAAAAAAGGGTTTCAAGGAGGAAGGACAATTAGAAGAAAAAGGATGAAATAACCGAGTCAGCTTGGCCGCTGATTTTAATTCGCCCCGTATCCCTTCTACGCCGTTTTGTTCACCGCCGGTTCAACTAGGCTCGTTCCTTCTTGCACCGTGCAAACCAACCCCCTCTGCACTCCCTCGACGCGAACGTAACCCCAACGTAGTCAAAACTTGGGCAAACTTCGCAATGGCGTACACGTACAGATGCCCTCGCATCTCTAGCGACCGCAGCCTAAGGATCCACCGAATGCTAACACTCTCTGTCGATCGTTAATAATCCTTCCAAACCCTGCTACTTCCGACAAATTTCCTTTTCTGTACTTCTGTCAAAAGGCAGAGTTCAGAAGTTAGGAACAGCCAAACGTGATTGCTAAAAACACTTGGAGAAACCTCAGCGTCTGATAAAGAAATACTGTCTTTATGAAAATGGATTTCTTCTGACAAAGGATGTATAGAGTATTTAATGCAGCTTGGTTAGCTGCATTTGCAAGTGACAACTTTGATTCCGTCGTCCACAGTCTCGGAACGAATTCTTCTAAATCACCGAGCATTTTACAGGCTCGATTGCCGGTCCCAAGAGGGCCATGTCCAAGTGACGAATGCGTGGACTCTATATTAGAGGGCACCAGCCCCTAGTTCACACGGACCTGACGGAAGTTGGCGAAGAAACGCCGGTGAACCGTGCATACGCATGCTGACAACGCTGGAGATCCAACGATAGCGCGAGAAAAGATGATTAATGAGCCAGGGACACGCCACGCCGTTTGCTCGAGTTCGCAAATGAGTGACCGAGAGAGAACAAGGTGGTGGATGAAAGAGCCACTGTGATGAGGAAGGAGGAAGAACAAATCGAAAGTGTGAAAGAAAAAATAAAAAGAGGCAAAATAAAAGGTGCAGTATGGAGACCAGAGACAAGTAAAATTATCCACAAGCCTAATAAACGTTTGGTCAATCATCGATCGAGTTCTCGATTGACTGACGACTTCACCTCGACCTAATCATCATCTGCAGGCGCTCCTGATAGAACATGGATAATATTTTATTCAGCGGTACCTGGTCAAAGTCGAGGATAAAGGACTCTAGACAGGTACACGATGATTCAAGGATGAAGAAAAGAGTTGTAAAAGGATTGAAATAAAGTAGGGGAAAAATAAAACAAACTGAGAAGAGGCAAAAACAAAGGAGAGCTAGTTCCTGTTGGATCGAAATTTGGATGACTGCCTTCTGTTTCACGGCTCGTTAGAGAGAGCTTCACATCGATCGTTTCGAACGCGTGCACTCGCGGCACACGCACTCGTCGCATTCGTAAATGCAGGTCAGTGCATCGCTGCCAGAGCCACGTGACCCAAACCGCCGCTCTCTGCAGATATTTATTAGATTCGTTTCAAGGATTCATAATTGCGCCATGTTTCTTAAATAACCGCCGTTCATAACCATTCTTTTTCTCTTCGAACCTACCAAAGTGAATCTTTGCACCTAGATACAGAACTTGTTGAAACGAACTTCGTACTTCTTCGATTCTTCTCTCTTTTTTTTAAATCTTTTTTAATTCTGTTTTTGCAGTTACTTAATTCCTTTTCCGCGGATTAGAACTCAGAGAAGCCCAGATTTTCGTGACAAATAATAAAATCGTATTGTCGTAATTAATTAAGATGAAAACCACTCGCGGTTTTATCGAAATATACTTTAAACACCCATCAGTCATCACCCAAATCGTCGTATCAATCACTCAATCGTCATCGGATGTTTTTACGTACGCTTGAACCGAGAAAAAAAAGGACAGCTCAATCCGGTAAGGGGTTAATTGCAGTCAACTTTTTATACACTGATCGGTCTACCACGTGACAAATGTAAACCAGCCGATAATATCGAGATCTCGAAAGTGAGGACCGGTTGTTGTCCATCTGGTCCTCGCTCGAGGATTAATGAACGCGCTCTGCTTAGGTATCAGAGGCTCATTAAGACACATTAACCCCGGCCTCTTTTCCCTCTCTCTTTTTTCACGGCTGCCTTGTCCTAATGGCGCATTGATCACTGTTACCCATGAAAAACGAGTCTCTGACAAAAAAGAAAAAAAAAAGGAAATATTCACGTGCCTTTCAACGTGACAAATACACCCACGAGCGATCCTATATAGCCGGTTAATCGATGTCTTTTCTGAGATCATTTCCTTCCTACGATAGTTGAGAAAAATTGCATAAATTTCAAGATGTTCTATGTCACTTTTTTCAAAACCTACAATGTCAAATAATTACAGTAGAATTTATGACAAAATTTCATTATTACTCTACGTGTAGTCGCAACTTGTAAAATCATTTTTAAATTATTTTTAATACACGTATCCGCTATAAAAGGTTATAAACCGAGGAATTAATGTTTCCTGATAGTTAAAAGGACGGTTACTAGATAGATATAATTCACGGAAACGCAATACATCGTCGAAATCCCCGACATCTTCGAAAATCACATGAAATCGAGCCTTAAAGAATCTATTAATCTGGCTGGTCTGAAATCGACGGAAAACTCGATGGTCCCGTGGAAACGAAGAAGACATGCGCCCGTACGATAATCCGTTTCCGAGGATTGTATCTTATCGGCATTATCAGAAATCTCGGTACGGAGAGAGCCAGTTTATCTGGCAGCACGCGGTATATGGGCCAGATAATTTTATAATGCGCGGAATCGAGCGACATTCGATGCCTATGACTTCCGTTTCGGTAAACCTAATGAGTTTAAATTAGCTTGCTGTCGCCATTTTGCAATAAAATTCCAGCGAAAATTCACAGATGATGATTTTCTTTTTTCTCGTTACAATCTATAACGTTTAGAAGAAGAAATGGAAAGAAACGTACTGATCGCGCAAGATAGATCTATCATTGTGTCAGGAGTTCTAAAAGGAAAGTACGAGGCGCATACGAGGCTGGAACATGTACTCTACCTCGTTCGTAATTCAATCTGATCAGAAACAAGGTTGCACAAACGAAAAGCAATTAATCATCAGGCATAGTTTTCCCGTCTACTAATACCCAGTCATCCGTCTAATCGGTTATGCTATCTGCTAATGAACTTCCTTCATCTTTTCACAAACTCTTTGCTCTCACGCCCACGGAGCACGCACGCGACGAGACATACACCCAGTGGAATCTTCGTTTCAACCTCGATTTAACTAATTTATCATTATTTTTCCATTCTGAATTCTGTCCTATTATGCAAAAGAAAAGGCATTCTCCTACTGTCGAGAATTCATTTTTCCGCTATTAAACATTTCAACGTAACTTTTCAACTTCGTTCTAAAGTGCTCAAGGAATGCCTAACTTTTGTGATGTGTTAACGCATTGTTAATTATTCTATTTTCACGTGTCATTCTGGAAAATTTAATTCAAGCTTCCTATTGCTAACTCTCTGCCAATGTTTCAAACGTAACTTGTCCCAATTGTAGTTAAGCGAATTTTTAAAAATCTTACATACTAGAGCTGAAAGAGAATAAAAATAATGGGATTAGCGGAAAGATGGAAGAATAGACTCACCTCGGTGCGCTGTTGTAACCTCTTGTTCAGCTCGTAGAGCCTGTAGTCCGGCTGGCCGAAGTACGGAGTATGCCTCCTGGGGACAGGCAACGATCTGTCAGATCAGACCGATCGGTCATGTTAGGTGTGCTGTGTACAGTGTGTTCTCTGGTGTGGGTCGCGTGTCGCATGCATGTAGACCGAGGGCCGAGGCATGCACCGTCGGACTTTCGTAAGCCGCCTCGAGCGGCGCAATGAAACGACGAGACACGCCGAACGTGACACAGATTCGCAATGGCACTCGAAACTTACGACTTTCACCGGGAAACAACGATCAAGCGACGCGCGCGCATTCCGTTTTCCGATCACAAAACGAACGATTCGCCTCAAAAACTCAACGAAACTTCCAAATAGTACAACTTCGAACGAAGCTTCTAGGTAAAAAATTACAAATAAAATTGTCACCGGGATTTTTTACACCACTTTCGTTTCAGGAACCAATAGCGATTTATTTCGATCTGATAGATATGAAGAAGAAAAACTGATTAAAAGTTTCTTATATTTCGAAAGTTTTTCTGAAAATTCTTGCGTTACTTGCAATACAATACAGTGATCTGAAACATTTGTCTGACAGTATGTTTAGTAAGCGAACTATACATACGTATTCTGTGAAAATTTTAGACCAATCCAACTAATAGTTTCTGAGATATGTATTAGAGAAAAGTGAGATCGAAATTAGCTTGGACGATAACTTTCACAATTTTTCGAATTCCACGAAAATTCTTTCCATGCCTTACTCTATGCACGTAACACTACTTATTAGGTGAAAAGAAAATTAATCCTTTAGTCTCAGAAGTATCTATTTACGCTCTCGAACTTTCAGTATCTTCTACCATGCTACCAAAGAAGACGTACGTATTTCTACCTTTATGATCCTAATCGTCCAGCTAATATTTAGAGAGAAAAAGCACCAAAGAACGATGCAATCCGCGGTATCGTGACTGAACTTTTTTCGAGGAGAAAAAAAAACAACTGACTTCGTAAAGAGGAACGTCTTATAGTTTCATTACTGACCGAATAATAAATCGACGGATACACGGGGATATACATATGTAGCGCGTATATTAATCGAAAGTGTACTGACGTATCGGTCGCAAAGTTCTAATTGAATATAGGAGTTGATTGTACAAGGGAGAGACCGTTGCACTGCAGCATCGATAATAGTGTGTTTCGACGAGGGTCACGAATCGACTGACTGCACTGATATCGATCACCCTCGCGCTCCTGCTTTCTGTGCCGCTTCTTGTTGCTCGTGACCGCCTAAACTTAGTCGGAACTTTACAGCCGCAAAGTATCTCCTGAACGGTAGCTCTACTCGCTGATTGCAAGTGAATTCTCTCGATCTTATGTACGAACAGCTGTCATCTCTTATACCCATGTGACAGTGAAAAATTAATTGTTCTACCTTCCACGAAATAAAAGGCTGACAAATTTATTTCCTAATCTTACACGGTATTAGAGTAAAATTCAAAAGGTTAGGTTACAGAGGAACGACAGATTAGCTTTTGGAAAATTGGATTAGCACTGTAATGCGCCGGAAGTACGGACAATTGATCGATGGCATCAAAATATTAACGCTGAACTGGTCGGTGGCGGGACGCTGACAAGCTCCACGCCGTTCGCCGGAATTGTTATCGATTTTAATATCGGCGTTGCTCCATTAACGACGCTCGCGAGAAACTTACACGCGTCGCGCCGCGATCAAATAATTCGGTGACCCGATTTCGCCGTCCGACTCATGACTTCCTGGACTCGTTCCGCCGCAACATTGCTTTTTAACCGCATATTCGAGGGTTAGATACAAACATACTATTTTTCGACGGAGACGAATGATGGAAAACAAATGAAAGACCTTTTGATGAGTGATAAAATCGATTTTCTGATTGTTCAGACACTGAAGTTGAATCTCAAGAAATAATCGACGGATTTACTTAAAAGGGCCTAGCCGAATAAGCATGGCAAAAGTGCCCCTAAACCGAATTGATCTTGGTATAGACCACTCGAAGAAAACCCTTTCTGCCAAGTATCAAGCTGGTACCCCTACTACTAAGGTAGTTACAGGGCGAAACGCAATTTACAGTTCAAGCTCCATTTCTCTTGTTCTACTCGATGAAAACTTGTGAAAAAAATCATGAATGTGCTACCCAATGGCATACATGTCTGTGAATTTTTTCAGAATTGTTCACTGCAAAATCGATTTTTGAAAAATTCGGAAAGTTTATAAATGTTGTTTTTATATTGAAATTATCAAATGACCATATTTATATTTTTACAGTATCAGTGTCTTGTTATGGTTATTAATGTATAATTTTTTCAGATTTTTTTTGAGAGGTGGTTCATGCTTAAAAAAATTATAAACCGATATCTCCTAACCTTTCGAACACAGAGTGGCATACTCGTATAATCGACATACTTTATTCATTAAATGGTCATTATATGCAATTTCAATACACTTAATTTGGACATATTCTTTGCTTTTTTTTTACCTGGGGGAAATCTTCCAAAGTCTCTCCTGGAGTGGAGAGGCAAGGTAGTGTGGGATTCTTACCCACTAAAACCCCCATGGGGTTTTACCCAGTGAATGAGTTTCACCTGTTGTAATTTTTATTTGCAGCACTAGTAATCTGTTGTGTTTAATTTAATTTTCGTCACTATCATTATTTATTACCGGATTTACCTGTTCAGCATCGAAGATTTTGCTAAGAATTTCTGGCAGCACTAGTAATCTGTTGTGTTTAATTTAATTTTCATCACTATCGTTATTTATTACCGGATTTACCTGTTCAGCATCGAAGATTTTGCTAAGAATTTCTGCAGGCCTTACAATTTTTGTAATGTATCGAGCTTATTATCGATAAATAATAAATGATCGCAGCTACGTGCGAACAGCATCCGATAGTACGGTTGCCATTTACACACTCGCAGAAATAACGTTTAATTCCGGAGAAAACTATTGAATTTGCTGTGTAGTCTATATAACACATGTAGATTTGGCTTTTAGTAATAAACGAAATAACATAAAACACGTATTAAAAATCTTAATCTTGAAATAGCAAAGAAAACACGTATTTGTCATAAACCTGGCATACCTAAATTATTCATAACAACGACACTCATCCAAATACTAAATACACCTTGCAAGCCTTTTTCAACATTTAATATGTTTCATGTTTTATTTCATTTAATACATGTGAATGCATTTGAAACTACATATAATGACCACCTGATGAATAAAGTATATCGATTCTATGAGCAAAATCTTTTAGTGGGTAGGAATCCCACACTACTCTCAAAAAATCTGAAAAAATTATACATTAATAACCATAACAGGCTGCTAAAACTGTAGAAAAATGAACATGGTCACACGAAAAACTAGAATAATAATATAAACGAATGTCGGCTTTTGATTTTTCTAGGTGCGGTCCCCCACTTCGAAAAATCTGAAAAAATTACACATTAATATCCATAACAAGGCACTAATACTGTAAAAATATAAACGTGGTCATTTGATAATTTCAATATAAAAACAACATTTATAAACTTTCCGAATTTTTTAAAAATCGATTTTGCAGTGAACAATTCTGAAAAAAATTCACAGACATGTACGCCATTGTGCAGCACATTCATGATTTTTTTCATAAGTTTTCATCGAGTAGAACTAGAGAAATGGAGCTTAAACTGTAAATTGCGTTTCACCCTGTAACTACCCTAGTAGTAGGGGTACCAGCTTGATACTTGGCAGAAAGGGTTTTCTTCGAGTGGTCTATCGAATGATATGCACCAAGATCAATTCTGTTTAGGGGCACTTCTACCATGCTTATTCGGCTAGGCCCTTTGGGTGGAATATTCTTGACAGCATTTCAGACTGACTGATTATCTTAATCTTTTCACAATATTAATCGTAATCTTTTTATAACTAAAAAGATGAGGATCACGTCGAGAAAATATTTGGGAAAAGAACAAGAACTTCTGCTGACAGCGATATCTCCCAAAATTATCAATATTTTGCAATAAAAATTTACCAGTATCTAGTCAACAAGTGTACCTTCCGATAGAAATAATCTTCGACTTAAGTTTCTCTCATAATTTCTCGGGAAAAAATTCTTGAAGTATTAACCTCTCGAGTAATTTCTAGGGTATCACAGACAGAGGAAGATGTCGGTAGAAGAATGCTTCCTTAAAAAAACAAAAAATAGAACAAGAACGATCCAAAATCAGGCAGAGGGTGTAGAAGAGGGATTCCGCAGGCAGAAACACGATACACACAAGGACGCTGAATGTCGCCACGAAGATCGATCGTGCCAGAAAGAACTTGGCCTTTTCAGTCTCCGGAGAATCGCCGCCGTGGGACATGACGACACGTCACTACCCCTCTTTCTGCGTGTATGCGTGCGCGTGTGTACACACAGCAGGGTGAATTTACCAGGGAAGGGTCGAGGCTCAAGGGTTGCAAGGGTAACCTACTGTCGTGCACGGTTCACCAGGGACGCGCTCGACAAATTTCCCGTCCCGTTCGTGCTCTGATTCATCTGGACCGCGAAACTACACGATTCTTCTCCTTTTTTCTCCTCGCAATCGCTCGAGAAACTCTACATATATGTATCTAATGTTGTTCGCAAAGGTTAACACACGTTCCATTATAATTAACGAAGCCATTTTAGACCCTAAGCAACACGAATACAGATCGATCGAGTGATGTGTATTAAAAAATGTTAGGTCATTTGTACTTATAAATAGACGAGCAGAGGATTAATGATAACGGGGATATTGTTAGCCGTGCGTTGTGTCGAAGCTCAATCGAGCTATCGTGATATTTTTTCCTGCATTCTACTTTAAATTTATCCCTGCATTCCTGTGCTTAATTTAACATTCTCGTAAATGCACCATATATTGAAGATTAACTCAACAAAATGATGCCTGCATGTAGAAGATGTTATTTCCAGCCTGAAATCGGGAATTATCTCCGAAATAATCTGTTGTAAATTACCATAGAAAGGGGGGGAAAAAAAATAGAAAAGTGTGTTCGATTTCGAAGAATCTCGCGGAAAACTGGAT